ATTAGAATTATTCGTTAGCGTAATGGGGACATAGAAGTATCATTCGTCACGAAGGAATGCATTCTTGGGAAACTAGAGATCAATTTGAAATTGGGTAAGTGAAGTGATCATGGCTTGATTGGTGGAAAACGATTCTGTCTGGTTCTATGGAAACCTAGAAGTGACATTGTCGTGTTGTCGCATTGTAACCAAATCACAACAATGCGACAATATTTTGAAAAGCAGCTCCCATTGTCATTGGAGGTAACAAAAGACCACTGGAGTCAGAAAAGAGTATAACTATTTCTGACTAATTGTCTTTCTACACATGCGCACCAGTCATCGAAAAGGACGAGAGCGACATATTCATTATGTCGCATTGTCGCGTTGTTACGCATTTTAATTTTTTTTACACATCTTAGATGGGTCGACAATGCGACAACGGGATATATTTTTACCTTGAAATTATCGCTATGTCGCCCTTTGTGTGAATAAAAATATTCTTCAAAGCGCGAAAATGTGACCATGCGACAGAGCGACAATGCGACAATGCGACAAATGATCCAAATGTCGCCTTGTTGCATGGTTGAGCTTTGGTTAATTTTGACCCCTTTGTTTGTGTTTGTGAGGGCGACAACGCGACAAATGTCACTTCTAGGATTCCATAGTTTCACACGAAGAGACTGAAATCGTTTACTTGACACAGTGGAAGTGAAAATATGTGCTCTAAAAGTACCAAATATACTCTTGGTTTTATGTAACATTTTACAAGTGAAGTGTCTTTATAAGTGGCTCCAAAAGTGCTAAATATTCTACCAAATGCTTTAAGTTTTGTGGATTTGAATGGTTTTATATGTGACGTTTTGGACGAATTAAGTGGCCTCAAATGGACCAATCTTTTAAGAGAAGCAAGATTTATGGATGTCAATTTCTTGTTGTGAATAACACGACGTTTCGGAGTGTATGCTTGCTCCTTCATCGAGCCATGAAGGACATACACTCCAAAACTTCGTGCTATTCACAATAAAATAGGTGACACCCATAAATCTTGCTTCTCTTATGCATTCCACTTCTAAATGCCCTTAAAAGATTTGGCCAATCTTTTATTTGGACTTATTAGTAGAACCTCTCGGTCTGAGTGACCATTTTGTTTGTTTAATAATAGGACATCATATCAATTCATCATAAAGGCCAAAGTCTTTTAAATTTTGTAGGACTGTATAATGACATTCTAGTCAAGAATCTTACTAATATATTGGAGGTCACATGAGATTTTAAGCTCAAGTAGTTCACCTAAGTCATGTTTTTGTTTTCATTTTGCAATAGTTCATGTTAACCCATGTTTATATTGGAGTTGAATCTGAATATATCACTGACATACAGTAACAATAATTACATCCTGCTAAGAAGTGCATTCTGTTAAATAAAACAACGCTGATAATGACATTATGCTCGTATGATATGTTGAAACGTTTAGACGACAATGGAGATATTAACTTGGCTTCGGCAGTACGATCAATATTCATTTCAACGTGGCTTTGCTTATGTATGGATATATCAAAATGTTGGAAACTGGGAATTGTTTTTAAACCTTTTCAAACAACGTTGTAAAGACATGAACTATCAAGAATGGACACAAGATATAAGAAACTCAAAATCATTGCATATGTATTCTGCCTTTAAATCTGATATTGTTCTGGAATTGTATTTGATCGCACTCTCTTCGTTACATCTGCGCAGTGTCTTAACAGAATTCAGATGCGGCTCCACCAATTTGAAAATAGTTTCGTAATGAAGATCTAAAGACAATGACATTAGTGTAGCTACGTGCGATTATTGTAAAAGTGTACCAGAAGATGAGTTAATGAAATGTCCTTTATGCACACCAAGTATCTATATTATTAACCGAAATAAACAAAAAATTGTACATCTTCTAAATACTAAGAACCATAACATAATACTCCGTCCAGCAATTTTTGTTAACAAAATCATGTGCATGAGGCTCTGTAAAAATTTAATCTAAGTTGTCATTTTGTACTATTTGCCTCATGGCCACATTTATGATATAAACCTGTCTGTCTGTCTGACAATCATGTTATACTATTAAATATATCATCATGGTCGCAACACTTTTTTGCACTACAGTACTTCAATTAAACATTCTACATTAAGGCTCTATATTATTTCTATTATCTGTAAACCATTGGCATACAACCATACACAATGGGGCCGAGGAGCCTGAAAGTATGGTGTAACAGCTATAGGAAGACGATGCCACAGAGAGAGAGAGAGCTATTATGAATTAATGATGTACACACTTGGGTAGAAACGTTCCAGTCAATATATCACAATATGTATTGCAATATCTCTTGAATTATTGCAATATATCGCAATATGAGAATCAGGGCAATATCCAGTCCTACCTCTCTGGCTACATGCTGTAACATGGCGGGTTAGACTACTGCTGGTTATTTCAGCTTCAAGATGACCCTTGTCAAACTGTAGTTTCTTACACTCCACAGACAATGATCAACACCACCATATACTAAAACAACAAAACATCCCAGGTAAGCCACATTTGAGTTATGGAGAGTGAAGCAGCTCGAAGGATGAGAACCTGACTGAGTTGTTCAATAATATGTTAAGAAACAAGAAAATACAAATGATATTCCTTCCCCTACCTGATATTTGTACTTCAAGGCAAACGCTGAAACCTTTCCTGTTGTCTTTCTGGTATGCAGCTGGCATCTTCTCGAGTTGACATCCCATGTGAAGGAACCACATTTAGCACTGTAGAGACACAGGAATTCACACATCGGATAGGATGGTACGAGTTGGGTTAAAAATCCATCTGAACCAAAGACACTTCTAATTGCCAGAAACTGCACCAAGAGAGAATGGGTGATACCTTCCATTGTGTCCTGCTCTTCTGAGGCCGTGGTATATTGTCTCGGATACACCCTTGGTTTCATTACATATTTATGCCCCACAGACTAAATGCTGAGCTAATAGCAAAGGAGCCTTTCAGAGATAATACCGTTTCTATTAAAATTTAAGCATTTGCCATTATGCTTGCTTCATACTGAGCGATCATCACCGAGGAAATCTCCGAAGCTGGTGTTTTCAGGCATTTATTAAACTGGCCACACCATGTTGCGGACTAACGGCGCCAGACCCAGGCACGTTGTCATTGTATTGTCAATAAAGTTTAATCAACTGATGGTCATCGCAACCCAAAAGCTAGGACCATGCTCATGATGTCAGTCTCCGGGTCATCGGGTTCAGAATCGATTTGTAGAATCTTACGGCTCTTATAGAATCCAACTGAAATACGTTACGAAACCACTAAACATGAAAATTCCACCTCCTCAGGTCCTACTTGCAGATCTTGCCACATATCATTGCTGAGTAAAGGTTATAAATTAACAATTTCATTCTTAGGCACGTTTACAAATCAATACGAGTTATGGAAAAGGAATGCAATGACTGCCTCCATTCAGTGTCACTACAAATTCAATGACAAATTGTTTATAGCAATACGAAATAGTGGTCTTAGTATGACCAGAAATTATTGAGAAGTTTAGGAATATGTTTAATTGGATTTCTAGTATAAACAATTTTCACCAGCTATCAAGTGCTTGGTTTCATTCAAGAGAGACAACTCCGTTAATCCCTTTTCATTAGTTTGTGAAGAGTTATCCCCCTTTGTTTACTTGCTAGCAGACGATATTTTCAGTGATCCTCAGTATGGATGATTAAGAGAAGAGGAAGTTGATTTTAATGTATTATAACAAGGACATCAGATCAGCTAAAGTGATTTCAAGTACAACATGCGTCCCTTTGTCCACTGTTTATCGTGTTTTCAGAAATATATCAAATGGATATGGCATTGAGCACCAGGGAGGCGCATGTAGGCCCAGAAAATTGACTGTCGATGACAGGAGGCGGCTTGGTAGTCTTGTTTCTAAAAACAAACGAAGGAGTTTAGAAAACTTAAAGCTGGATATGATTGATAGAGAAACTGTGGCTGTATGTAAGGAGACAATTAGAACTGAGCTGCATGCAATGGGCTGGCAGAAAAGTCGAGGAATTCCATCACCGATCATGAAATCTGAACAAAAGGAGCGACCAAAATTCTGGACCAAACAAACTGAAAACCTTTTTATCAGCGCATAAAGTACAGTCCGAAATTTAACGTGTGGGGTGGCATATCTGTGTTAGGGGCAACGCCCCTCTGTTTATTTGAAGGGAATATGAACAGGGAGCGGTACACAGATATTCTCGAGGGACATTTACTGCCATCTGCTCACGTGTTCTATGGACATTTTTGGATTTTCCAGTAGGACAACGACCCAAAACATCGTTCAAAGCATTCACAGGCCTGGTTTCGGACCCAAAATAGGACATTATTAGATCTGCCAAGCTATAGCCCTGACCTAAATCTAATAGAAAATGTTTGGGGACTTATGAAGGAAAGTGTCAATAAGAAAAATCTGACAAATATTGCTGAAATGAAACAAGAGGTGGTCCGATATTGGGACAGCATGGACCACGACTTTCTAAATTCTTTGATCAGTAGTATGCCCTGCCGCATTGAAGCCTGCATTGCTGCCCATGGTGACTTGACAAAATACTAACTGTTCACCTGTCTTTGAATCTGGAGTTATCACGGCGGGGGACACCAGCAATGGGCTTCACACATTGTGCCCATGTGGGACATCGAACCCGGGTCTTCGGAGTGACGAGCAAACGCTTTAACCACTAGGTTACCCCAGCGCCCTGCTCCCGAATCCAGGGTAAAATGATCGTCACACAACTACTGGTCGTGATTAAATGTAAGTTGTAATGTGCGATTACCATGGCAAGAGTGCGCCAGCTTTATAAAAATGATATCGACGTTCCCTTCTGACAAAATATACCTCTATTATAAACGGACGTCATTAGGGTCAATTTCAGTCAATAACTATATTCATCCCCACAACATTTTATTTTATCTTTTGTACATGTTAAACACGTCGTCCTAAAATAGAAAAAATATTTTATTTCACATAATATTACACAAAAGACAATCTTCAGATGTCTGACAAATGTCCATAGGAGGGATTGCTGAAACACATCTTGCTATCCTCGTTCATGTACCCGTACTCGCTTGCTGCAGTCCGCCGTCGTCGCCTGGAACCATCGAAACATGCATATGTATTTGTTATTGAGAGACATTGATTGGGCATGGTATGTAACACATCTTTGGCACGCAAAGGCAACGTGGGGAGAGGCGTGGGTAGTTTCGTATCCTGTGCAAAATGCTATCACATATCTTCAAAAAGAAGAAGCTCAGGGCCTATCCACAGAAAAATTGATTGTCATGTATCATGTACGTCTGAAAATGTACGGTCAAACACGTACGTCCCGATGCATCATGTCGTAGGTCGTATACTCAAGGTAGAGAAGTAGAAGGGCAAGCAACCTCAACGCAGAGAAATAAGTCGTAAGGTATGTTCTGCTTAGTGTAGAAGGTCGACATGTAGGTCAGCAGGTATAGGAGTAAGTGTAATGCTAGGGTTACACGATGTTCCCGGCGGCCATGGCAGCGGCGACACAGGGACAAAACGGGGACAAGACGGGATGGACGTGAGACAACGTCGGGGGACTGAATGAGCAAACGTCACAGTCTGTGATTGCCGAGGATGTCGTGCCAGATTTTTAAACTGTTCAAAAATTTGCCACGGCAGTCACGGTACTAACGAGAAACCTAATAGGCCGTAGGAAAACGGGGGAACGCAACAAAGCGTGACGGCACGTAATAGGCCGTAACAGAACTTGTAGACGGTCCGTAGTGGGTCCGTCGTGGGACAGGAGACATGTGTATTCCCCGGCATCTCACGGTCCTTTCAAGTTTTGTCATGTTCGGCCACGTTTGTTTGGCGTTTTCTCCCGGTTGTTTCACCCTTGCTGCCCGTTTTGTCCTGGTTCCCCCCGGCAAGCTAGGTTGTATGGAAGCCGATTCGTCCCGTTCTATCACGACGCATCTAGGCGTGTGACGGTTTACAGGGCAATAGAGAATACTACACTCGGTCTCATAACATACGAGTTATACGAAACGAGTGTCCTTCCTATGGTATCTGACCGAGCGAAAGCGAGGTCAGGAACCATAGGAAGGTCACGAGTTTCGTATAATTCGTATGTTATGAGACCGAGTGTGGTATTTTATATATTACCCACGTCTTACATGCTTTAAATTGACAAAATAGCGTATTTTTGTTATTTTTATGGCTTCAAACCGAAACCGATTTTATAAAGAGATAGCGGAAGAATGTTTTTCTGTAGTACAATATTTGCATGACGTCACACTGTAATGACGTCACAACGCCTTGCTTGTCTGCCCCTTAGTAACCGACGTCACGATGCATGTCAGTTGTCATCGCCTCGTACAGCTCCTACATTTAAACTACTCCGTAGCATCCCGTTTCTTAGTTTGCAGTTGCTTCACTCGGCTAACATCACTGGTGGAAAACTTTGCGTTTATGTTTCTCGACGCATATAATGTCTCAGTTTGACTCACAATTAAACGGCGATACGCAATGTTTACATCCCCACAATGCATATAAGTTGTAGAATGAACGAATTCACGTGTTTGTTATGAATGAACAAATATATAGCTCCGTCACAACGTGACCTAACTGAGAGCACACTCCGGCGCAGTGATGACTTAGCATAACACACTCCGGCGCAGTGATGACTTAGCATAAAACACTCCGGCGCAGTGATGACTTAGCATAACGTCACTGCCACAGGCTAATTTGCTTATCACGTGACAGGTCTTTTCTCTTGTTTGTAAACAAACGCGCATATTCATAATAAGAAGAGACCGGCCTTACGCAAGCTTTTCGGCGCTCTCTTCACAATGTTTTACTTTGTTACATGTATATTCTTCCACAACTGCGACAGTAAGATTTATGACTACATATTTAGATATCAAACTGGCTGCATCGTTTGCTCTCCGTCGGCTTCGATGACAGCACGTGGAGCCATACAAACTATGTAAACAAAGGATCGTTACGCAAATCGAAATAGTGTTACATGTTTTAGGATATTTTCTCAGTGAAACTAAACCATTCTATCAAAGATGTTTAATTATCATCCAAAACTGTGTTCCACAGGAGATATCGCTTGTGTGAGATCAAACGATATCTCCTAGGAGATATTGCTTTGACAGTAGATTTTGTACAATGCCCTGACAATGCTATGACGTCATGTACTTGATGACGTCACAATGCTATGGCATCGCTGCACTGCAAGTGTAATGGCAGTACCATGTTCAGAGATGTACATTTTTCATTGAAAATTAATGAAGAGTGATTTTGGATGATAAATAGAATCTCACCCTCGTGTCTTCTGATATCAAATATATCAACACTCGTTGATAAAGTAAAAATATCCTCGGCAAGCCTCGGATATTTGTAACTTTATCAACTCGTGTTGATATAATTGATATCAGAAGACACTTGGGTGAGATTCTCTATTTAGACGTGTAGCCTCGTCAAAAATAAAAGAGTTGAGAAATATGTACAATATATCGAATGGACGGTGCAAGATGTGACAAATCGTCACATTTTTCTGGCCTGTGGCAGAGATGCTATGCTGGCTTGCCGCATGGAACTCTGGGTAGGAGAGTGAACTGAGAGGTCATCGGTTATCCAATCAAATCGTTGGAATCTAAGGTCAGACAGACAGACAGACAGATTTTATTCAGTAATATTGGCCAACTGGCCCATGTTACAATTGTTGTTACAACACTTTTGTTATAACGTCGTAAGAAAATAGAAAAGCTATATTTAAACACTGTTTCAAACATTTTTTGAGAATACACATTTCAGAAATGTTGCTATTGCTTAAACGGTATGCCTATTTTGTGAATTAAATAAATGTATCATTTGGGATTTACATACATATTTGCCATCGAGAAATCTTAAATACTTTATTTTCAAATCATTAAATTCTGGACATTGTAGTAAAATATGAAATTCATCCTGGACTTGTCCGCTGTTACAATGGTTACATGAAGTGCGCTGTCTTTCAGCATTCTTATTTCGTCTGGTTGCATTTACATTCAAATTATGTAGAGGAATTCGGAATTTACAAAATACCTTCAGTAACGTCTTATCATGAAACAGGTATGTAATATACGCTTCAGGGTAAAATCCTAATTTTACAAGACTATAATTTCTCATAAAATGTGAAGCTTGTACAATTCCTTGCCAATTTTGGACATAAATATCAACTAATCTTTGCTTGAACACATACAAGAACAATTGTTCATCTCCAACATTTTTTGGTATAACCATACGTGTGAATACCCACAGGCAAACAGTAAGAGACGGATATCCGAAACCCAGTTCCTTTTACCTCTGTCATCCAGTTCTTTCAACATGTTATAACATTGATGTGGATATCTGTTTACACCCATTCTAACCAATTTAATCCAATATTTAACAGCTCTGTGTCTACTTAAAACAAACATATTGGTACGACCAATTTCGCCTAATATTGCCTTATTCGATGCGAATTTCCCAACACACAAGAAACGTTTGAAATAGGGTGTTTGCACCTTTTCAATACAGTCATGATATTTAAGGCCCCATATTTCCGATGCATATAACAAAATAGGTGCAATTTTACCATCGAAGATATTACATGCTGTCGAAAAAGACAAGAACTTGTTGTTATGGAACAGCCTGTATACAGGGAAAACAGCTTTAGAAGCCTACAATGCAAGAGTACGACACGCTGTTGACCAAATCAGCCTGGATGAGAAAATGATGCCTAAATATTTATAATACGATACAATTTTTAATTTTACACTTCCAAATGTCCATTGTTCATTTTTGGCAACTATTACCCCGTTTCTGAATACGACTACATTTGTCTTATCCAAATTTAATTGAAGTCCCCATTTTAAACAAAATGAATGCAGGACATTTAATTGCCTTTGCAAATTGACAACAGTATAGGTGAATAGAACAACATCATCGGCAAACAGAAGAAGCATAATATCAATTATATCCTGAGATACAAATATACCTTGGGAACATTTTTCATACAGTTCATGTACTTATTCATTTATAAAGAAAATGAAAAGAATGGGGCTGAGGATACAGCCTTGACGAACACCACTGGAGGTAGAAAAATGACTGTGTTTGGCAAGTTCCAATCTTGACAGTAGCTTTAACAGATGTATTCATATTTTCCAAAATCCGGAACATTTTGCCATGGAAACCTTACTTAATAACAAGTACAATAACTTTTCCCTGTCCACATAATCAAATGCTTTCTTGAAATCTACAAAAGCACAGTAAAAACGACCTTTCGGTTTAGACAAATATTTGGTACATAAAGCCTGCAAAATAAATTCGGTCGGAATCCAGCTTGTGCTTCTGATAGTAAATTATTTATATCTATCCATGTCCTTAAACGCCTTGAATCTCAGGTCGAGTCGTTACGACACAGGTCAACGCGATACGACATTCGTGTGACGTACGAGATTAGTATTGTAGGATATTTATACAGCGCACATATCCAGGCAGCTAGTGCTTGCTCAAGGCGCTGGTATTTTGTCCCTCGATCATTGGATGTCAGTCTCAACGGCACATCGTATTATCAATCTCAACTCCCTTGGGAGTATACAACTCTTGCAGCCACTAGGCGCACCGAGTTATTGTGGCTTTCTCATCCTAACGAGGTACCCATTCACAGCTGGGTGGACTGGAACACATAGTCACAGTACTTTGTCCAAGTTCACTGCACGTTGCTGTACCCGCAACTAGGTGTTTGCACGTATCCACGTGGCCACCATCTGGTCTTATACCAATGGATTCGTGGGTTCTTTTAAGTGCACAAGGTTGTGTACTATACACTAGGGGTTGTGACAACACTGAAAGAGTTTGCACACAAAGTTGACTCCAAGGTTTTAACACCCGGTCACGGGTGGGCTCGATCCCGACACATCAACCTCGCTGGATCAGTAAACTGGCGCCTTAGCACTGCGCCCCCAATCAAATCAACTACCCATACGTTGACCACGTGGTTAATAAAGCGAGATAAGGCACGTTGCGTTCTCTGGCATTCCCTCTCTGCAGGTGATGCTGGCCTTCTTGCTGACGCAAGGACTCGGTGTA